ATGTAATAACTACCGCCGGTATATCGATCGACATAATGTGTCCTAGACCGGTGGGTTTTTTTTTGAAAGTTTTGTATCATGGCGTATTGTATCAAAATAGGTGGATGTTTTTTAAGTCTGTTAAAGTTGACAGGGTTGAGTTGCTTTTGATGTACTCTGATAAAGTTGATACGTCTGTACTGGTCATAAAGTCCAAATTGGCTTCAGTTATAAAATAAATTTTTATTACAGATGGCGCTGCACCAATTTTTTAATAGTAATATATATTCTGAAACTGTTGTCTTTTCGATTAATTTGAATTCTTTCCGATAAATAATTCCAATTTGGATAGAAAACATTCTCGGCAATTATTTATAGATGGAAATGAAAGTCTTAACCGCTATCACCGATTCTTATGAATCCCGTGGTTAGAGCTCATGGGATTCAAGAATTTTTGGATCCAGATCAGATCGATAAAAATTGTTAGATTCGGTTCAAATTGATTCAGTTTTTATGGATAGATCTCATGGGATCCAAGAATTTCTGAATCCGGACCTGGTCGGGTCTAGATGGAACCTGATGGGCTCTACCAGTAGTAACGCGAATAAACGTACGATATGGTTTGAAAACCTTGTTTTTTATTTTTTAATAAAATAGGAATTCTTTATTCTGATCCATCTGATATAATTATTCTTCGAAATTTATCATCTCGTCATCGTTTAACATTATTAATATCTCCAGCAGATATTGATTTTACACAAGAAAATCTTCATTGTTTATTAGTTGATCAACCAATATCACGTATACGTTTACCAGATTTAATTGATCCTCAATTACAATCACAATCTATATCATTTTCACTTTCGGATTATCGAGGTATACATTTAACAACAGGTTCATCATTAATATCATCAAAAACAAATGGTTTTATTAAAATTTATCAAACAAGAATGAATATAGATTTATTCGTTTTTTTCAGTGTATTTTTTTCTTCATTTTTTCTTTTTCTATCAATTGGAATTTGTTTTTGGAAAGTTAAATTTGCATATGAAATTCATCGTAGACGAAGAACACTTAAACATGAATATCATAAACGTATGGCAAGACCATTTGCTAAAATTCAATTATTTATTAAACCATCAACAATAATATCCAATGATGAAGATAATTCTCAACAGGTTTTACTTTTTTCTTTAATATTTTCATTAATTTAAAAATTATTTTTTTTTAGCTTACTTTTCCAGTAGCATCATCATCTGTAGATATTCCATTATTACTTCCATCAACTCGTACAGATATTGATTATTCATCACATGTTGTATCTGTTGAACCACTTCGAGATCAAAATACTTGTTATACAACATTACTTTTTCATTTACCAGGAGATCTTTCAACACAATATCGTCTATGTGCTGGTACAACACTTGCACAATTACCATCAGATTATGCTAATGCACTTTCAAATGCAAGAATTGAAGCTGAATTACAAAAACGAAATAAAAGACGAAAAAAATATAATGGACGAAATGTTCATCAACGGAAAGTTGTTGTTAAAAAGACAACAACAAATACTAGACAACAACAACATCAACAACTTAGAAGAAAACAACATAATCCTCATCAGCAACAACAACAACAACAACAACAACAACAACAACAACAACAGCAGCAGCCAAGAACAACACTTGGACCTTAAGAAGCTCGTTGTTGAGTCAGATGTGTACGCGCGCTTGTTTGTGTGTGTTTGTTTGTAGTCTCACTAATTTTATGTTATCTTATTTTGTATATTAAATTCTGCGAAATCAGGCATTTTAGAATTATCATTGGTAAAGTATTTGAAAATGATACATATTCTAGATAAAATTTCATTTAATTAGTGGATTAATTATTTGATAAAATTTTCATTTATATCTTCAAGAAATTTCTTAGTTTGTTTATTTATTTAGTTAACTATTATACATTATTTCAATAATTAGTCAGGTAATTAGATTTTATTAACTAATATTATATTAATTGATCTATTTTATGTAAGATTCTATTAGACATATAAATTATTTAAGAATAAATTCAAAAATGATAATATATATTTCAAATATTTTTGCTTGTTAAAACTAATAATAAATATTTCGATCTTTCAAAATTAACTAAACCTCAATTATCTATTATTATTTCTTTTGGATAGTAATAGTCATATGAAATAAAATTTAATTACAATAGAAATTATATTTCTACAAATAGATATGATCGTGTTTTATATATATATAGAATGAAAGGTTTTTATTAAAATCGAAACAAATATTGAAGAATATTATTTGCTAAATAGTGTAAACTAAATGATTTCATCAAGATTTAAATGTTTGTTATATGAAAATAAAAAAATTCAAACTAAATACGCTATAGAATGAAACAACAACAAAAATGAAAGATTATGGAAGAACTGATTCAAATAAATTCTATTAACCAGTCATGAACTTGTTAATTATTGACTTTGAAATGTAATCCTTTTTTTAGCAAGAATACATGAATTACGATCTAAGATTTATACACTACTGCTCAAAATTATAAGAACAACATATTTTTTATTGTTTTCTATTACGCTAAGTGCCTAGCTAAAATGCACTTAGTGATGTGAATAGTCAATCAAGCTCTCTCTATCTAAAGCATCCTATACAAAATTCCATAAATACATTATCAGAGAAAGATTTCTAAAAACAACAAAACAACCGCATTTTTCTAGGTACTTAAAGATTTTGCGAACATTGATTTTCAATGATGCCATGTTATAGAGAATAAAATTCTGAAGAAAATGAATGCTCGCCCCGTTTTTACCATCTTCCCTTAAAAAATAATGACCACTATAAAAATTTTTAAAATGTGGTTTTTTTGTTGGTCGATTTTCAGATAAATTTCATTTTTTTGATTATAACTTTTTAAGGCAAAGTGGTAAAAAAAATGTAGGAAGCACTCATTTTCTTCAAAATTTTATGTCCTATAAGATGGCATCATTGAAAAATCAATTTCCGCGAAAGCTTCAAGTGCTTAAAAAATTCGGTTTTTTTGAAATTTTTCTCTGATAATGTACTGATAGAATCTGGTATAGGATGTTTTAGATTGAAAGTTTGATTGACTATTCATATATCACTAGGTGCATTTGAGTTAGACATTTAGTGTGATAGAAAAAAGTTAACAATACGTTGTTCTTATAATTTGAGCAGAACTGTAGAAGGAAGAATGAATTAGTCGTACACAAATCCGAGGACAATCTCATTTAATTAAAAAAACTCAAATCATCACTATAGACTACAGATGTTCTTTGTAGTATGAATCGTATTTATAGACAATTTATGTCACATTCCTAGATTTTCTATAGATGCTATGTCAAAGGACAAGTCTTGATTATTATTTTGTAAGATATTATCTAAAGGAGTGTTGACGTATAGAATAGAAAACTTTGAAGGTTTTTTCTTCTCTTGAATTATAACCTTTTCATAGTCTTAAGATGTTTGTCACAACCTGTGAAATAGTTTTAGATTAAGATACATGTTTCTTGTTGTAGTTTCACACTCCCTGTAACATAATTAAAGTAAAATCTTTTTTTTGTATCATAAAATCTAGTAACTTACAAATTGAAAGACACGTTTCTAATTGTTATCATTGATAATATAAACAATTTTATCATGTAGAAAATGCGTTGACAGTACCGTTTGTCTTTTTTTTCAAATAATAAATGACATAGATTAGATATTTGTTCTTATTTCTTATGAATTCACAAGACACTTTTTTATCAATGATATAGATATATAGTAAAACTTCTCTATGTGACCCATTCCTTATTCTGAACAGTGGACGCTTATTTCTAATTCCATAAACAATGACAACTTCTGTAATGTGAGCAACATAGATTCTATCATTTATGAGCAAAGCAAGAAAAAAATTATGTTATGTGTATTACGTTATGATAAACAATCATGGGACGCATAGAAAAACAAGATGGACTACCCGTGGATATTTAAAAGAAAAAAAAACCAATATTAGACAACAGAAACAGTGCTTGATGTAACATCGTTTCATTTTTGTGTTAACAGCTAGTAATATTAGATCGTGTCAACACTAGTTGATTTAATTATTTGCTAGAAAGAAGACAAAGATCACTTGGTGCAGTCGACAAGCCATTGCAACTGAATACGTATAAGTTACAAAAAAAAAAAAAAGAGAAACTAAAAATCTTTCAATAATAAGCATTTCCATAAAGTGAACACTTTCAACTGGTCTTGATGATGCCCATATTAAAGAAGTTTTATTATATACAAAAATATTAGAGTATTATTTACTATATTCATCATGATATGAACTATTATTATCTAAAAAATAGATGTGCTGTTTTTTTTTGTAGATTATAAATAATGTCAACGGTTGAAGGTAATGAAAATGAATTTTCTTCTGCAGATGCTTTAAATTCTGCAGTGAATAAAGATGATGGAGATACTAATTCGCTACGTTTTGGTCCAAGTAATGATTCTGAAGGTGGTTCAAAGGTTGTTTTTCTTCTTAAAGCAGCAGGTGGTGCACCAATATTAAAAAAGAAAAAATGGGCATTACCAAGAACAAAAACAATTGGTCATATTGTTGAATTTTTAAAAAAATATATGCATCTTGATACTCAACAACAACAACAACTTTTTCTTTATGTTAATCAAGCATTTTCACCAGCACTTGATACAACAATTGGATCAGTTAATGATTGTTTCAGTAGTGAAGGAACACTTGTATTACATTATGCATTAACTGAAGCATGGGGATAAAAAGAAAAACTTTATTATTTATGTAAATCTTTTTTTTTTTATTGTTTAATGTACAGAATAAATAAACGAGAAAATCATTTAAAATATCTTTGTTCAATGATAAATCAGTCATATATAAAAAGTTTATTTCTAACAAATATATATTGTAGATTGATGTTGTGGCATTTTATCAGAAAAAATATTATTCAAAAAAGCCCACATATTATTCCTATTTGTTCAATGTCATCATCATCATCATCATCGTCTAATGAAATATTTACAAATGAACGTATTCGAAAACGTTTAATACCTTATCTTGATAAAACACCAGATTATGTTGATGAACTTTCTCAAACTATACCAAGATTAAAACGATCACGACGAGCATCTATTCTTGTTCCTCTTTATTGTAATCAAATAACAAATAAAATAGAAGTTCTACTTATGAAACGATCAGAAAAAATGCGATCACATACAGGAATGATTGGTTAGTAATAATATTCAATCGTTCACAAAAAGTAAAAATTTCTTTTATTTTTTCTTCTAATATTCTAAAGCTTTTCCTGGTGGAATGGTTGATCTAACTGATCGTGATTCAATTCATACAGCTCAACGTGAAGCTGAAGAAGAAATAGGTCTTGAACCACATCAATATTCAATAGTTGGTTGTCTTCTTCCAATAACGGATTCTCGTCTTGTTATAATAACACCTGTTGTTGCTTTACTTCATTCACCAAAATTTGTTGATTTTCGTTTAGATGTTAATGAAGCATCAGATGCATTTTATGTTGATCTTGAACAATTTCTTTTTGGAAATGAAAATTATAAAATGTTAGAAGTTGGAGATGATTTTGTAACACATCATTTTAATATTAATAAATATCATATATGGGGTGTTACTGCTTATCAATTAATATTAATAGCAACATTAATTTATCAACGTACACCACAATTTCCAGTTTTTCGTCATGAACAATATTTAAATTTACAACAGATAAAACAACAACAAATGGATTTTTTTCGATTATGTGTTGATTATCGAAATAGAGACAAAATAAAAGAAAATAATAAAGAAAAAAGTCGTTTATAAATTTTATTCAGAGAATTTTCTTTTTTTTATCTTTTTTCTTTAGTTTAAAGTAATATGTATTATTTGTTTGATATTGTTTTGATTATTTTATCATATAAAAAAAAAAAAACAATAAGAATTTCACTTAAACTTAAGTAGAAACATTGCAAGACAAATATACGATTCTCTTTTTTTTTTCTACAGTGTTAAAGTTACACAATTATTTGAAGAGAGAATATACTTTTGTTTAATATTTTCGCTATCAAATGTGCAATATTATTGTCATTGTACTAAAATTTGCTCAAAACACTTGCAGCTTTTAACTAATCGAATCAAAATAATGGCAATGTTGTTTATTTTGTCATGTCCACGAAAAAAAACATCGTTAATAAAACTAAATAATCACATTCATCAAGAACAATCGACAGTGCTGTATTAATTCTACAGTTGTTTACAATAAAAAATACCTTGCATAAAACTAGAAATTTTATTTTTTGTAGGGTTTTTTGTATGAAACAGTTATAGGCTTTATTCTTTTCGGTGATAATTCTTCGATGGTTAGACAAATTAATGATCGTATAATAAAAGTGCATTTGATTTTGTTTTAGATATATAAATATAAATAAAAAAATGTTGTATATTCATATTTACAATATTGCAACAAAGACACAAGATCAGCTAACGTTTTAAAATTAGAAAACAATGATTTCCATGAGCTATCTCTATTTAAAATATCAATAAATTAAAATAAATAAATTTAATCGAATATCGAAGTAGTCAATGACACGCTACTTTAGATGTTCATCTGATAATTATCATTCACAACTTGTGAAAATTGTGAGTGGATATTGTCATTTCTTGGCATCTCGAACATATTCGTTATCCTTGTGCTTATAACTGTTCGACTAAACCATATCAAAATATGCAAGAATGACAAAAATTATTATAATGGCAATTCTACAAGAATATATTGTTCTAGCTACTAATATATGCACATGTTCTAATGAATACAATGAAGTATTCTGTTAATATCATGCGCGTTATTTTGTTCTATTATTTAAAAATATTCTGTGCAAAATGAAAAGTTTTCTCGAGAGTATACGATGTATACATGTGAAACGCATCATATAATTACATATATGTAATGTATCAGAAGGTTAATTCGATCTGAAATCTCTGTAAAACAATACGTAGTATGGCGTAATGTTGTATACCATCGTAATCTGTTCATCCTGCTCTTGTCTTAATGGATGCTAACGGTCAATCATTCACATACTTCTTCTGTTTGAACTAAACTAATAATGAGCATCAGAGAAACAATTATTCATATGCGAATCTTCGCATTAGGTCTTGATCAGTGTATTCTTGTATTATTTTTTCCGAGTGGAAATGCAATTGATACATAAGGTTGGATCTCAAGTTTTGTTAGTATTATTGGCTTGATGATTGTTTTGAATATATGAACACATTTAGCTGCTACTTATTAGTTATCGAATAGTCTTCATTGCTTGGGATTTAATAGCATCTACTATAGATTCTTCACATGTTCGTGAATTATCTTATTATTATGATATATTCATGTTATGACAATTTTCAATTTCGACATATCCTAATCTTTGTTCACTAACTCTTTTTAAAATTAATGCCTTTTTTTCTTCAAGTAATTCTTGATACTATTCCAACAATTAATCAAATAAAAGATATACGTGTTGAACATCCAAGTTTATTACTTTATTCAAGAGAAGTTACCTATAAAGGATTTTTACTAAAAGATTATCAACATAAATTCAAGTCAATTGTCACGTGTTCCATTTATCTAACTAGAAACCTTTATCTAGTTTCTAATATTCCTACTATTTTTTTCAATCTTCATCGTATTGCCATTGAAGAATTTTATTGGAGAGAAGATATTATTGAATTTTTACAAAATAATATACCAAATCTTCAATCATTATATATTCGTACTTATTCATCTATATTATATCAACAATCGATATCAAAATATGTTTTAAAAAATGTTTTTAAACTTGATATGAATATAAATATTCATTCAATTAATGTCAAATGTCTTGGACATATGTTTCCTTCTTTACAACGATTGAGTATTCAATGGGATACTTTTCGACAATATCCATCGATTGATGGTTTTCAATGGTAAGATATTATTCAACAAAGTTGGCTTCTAATGCAAGAATTCACTTTAGATTTTAAACGTACACAAATTAGTAAACAATTTATAAATACATTTTATCAAAATAAATATTGGATATCAAAACAACTCATTCCAACTGTTTGGAAACCTCAGTATAATTCTCATCCAATATTAAAAGTTTTATTTTAATTATAAACAATTATTAATATAATCTTTTATTATGTGATATATTTTCTATTTATTAATAAATACGCATTTAGAATACAAAAGTTTATCAATTGTTGTAAACAAATAAAACAGAAATTTTTATGATTGTACAGTTATATCTTGAAGTACAAGGTGCATAAAAATATTTTTTTAGAGGGATAATACTATAATTTCATATAACATCAACAACAAATTTTATACCAAATTAAAGCACATCGAAAATGGGATTCATCAATAGTAAATAGTAAGCGTTAGGGCAACCTTTCACTATCAAATTCAAGAGTATTCCTAAAATTTTACATCATGTCAGCAGAGAAAAATTCCTTTCATGAAACAGTTCAAACTACATCTCATTTAAAATGATGCATATCAAAAAGTAATATTTATTTCTTAAGACTTGATGAATACAATCAATAATCAATATGATGAATATTAGCATTTTTATAGCAGGAGGATGAGACGAATACGAACATAAAATAATTTCAAATAGTTCAATATTTGTTTCCATCTTTGTCAAAACATATGAAATATGTTTTCTTAGAGTTTCTTTATCAAAACAATTGTGGTCTATATCTGATAGTCATTCTTTTTTAGCTTCAATTTTGATTATTGTTTCAATATTTCCAGGTCAAGTATCCAGTACCATTTCATATTCATCATTTTAAATGAGATATAGCTTGAACTACTTCATGAGAGGAAATTATTCTCTACTGATATAATGGAAAATTTTAAGAACTTTTTCAATTCGATATTGAAAATTTGCTCTAACGCTTACTATTTACTATTGATGAATCCCATTTTCAACACGCTTTCATTTCGTATACAATATGATATTGATGTTATTTGAAATCACAGCGTTATTTCTCTGAAAAAATATTTTTATGAACCCTGCACACTGACTTATTAATCATTCTTTTACTTATACGAGTCAATTTCAAGATAAAATGTAAACCCATATACGTTTTTCTTTGTGTTAGTATAGAGAAAAACATTGACCAGGAATATATGCCAAATAACAAGTAGGACAATAGACGAGTAATCAATACGTCCAAAAAAAATATTACCTTGATTTTTTTTTCTATTGGAAAAAGTCTCATTAGAACGATGATCACATGGTTAATGATACTAATCATTCGATTGATATGTATGTGTGTTTATCAACATCGGATTGGAAAAAATACATTTTGTTTATAATTATATGATGCTCAATACCTTATAATTATTGACATGATTACACGATTTTCGTTTGGTCTGTTTACAGAATGAAAAAAAGTTTTTTATATTCATTTGATCGAAAAAATCAAATAAATTTATTTATAAATGATTGATGAATATTAATCGATATTTCTTTAGAAATTATTTGATTCACATATTTTTTATTAATAAATTATTTTATTTATCTATCATATCGAAATCAAATAAATTTTTTTTGTTATTAACAAGTAAACAGAAAAACAAATTTTAATTTCTATTGATATATATATATATTTTTTTTTTTCTAATTTAATAATCAATATCTATGAAAACCAACAAAAACTA